CCCCCCCCCCCCTCCTTCGCCCGCCCCTGGTCCGGGGAACGGCGTTCGGCAGACTGCGGGGCCAGCGCGCCAACCATTCACCCACCCGCGGGTAGGGGCGGTAGGACGCCACCCACAACCCCAGGGTGCTCCTTTTTCTTTTGTTCTTTTTCTCTCTATCTCCTCTCCCCCTTCTCTCCCTTTCCCCTTTCTCTCCCTCGCCCTCTCTGATTCTCTTTTTCTTTTCTCTGCCTCTCTCTGCGTCTCTCCCTCTCCCTCGCTCGCTGTCTTGCTCGCTCTCCATTACTCACTCTCTGCGTCTCCCTCGCGCTCTCTCTCTCTCCTGCTAGGCCTGTTTTCGATCGAATCGCCTCCCACACTGCTGCGGGGGAGCGCGGAGCCGAGCGGCCCGGGGCGGGCGACGTGCTGCGCGGAGCGGCGCAGTGCGGCACTGTGCGGGGTTCTGACGTCATGATATCCGCGCCGCGCCACGCCACGCCACGCCACGCCACGCCACGCCACGCCACGCCACGCCACGCCGTGCCGTGCTCCGCCACGCCACGCCACGCCACACCACGCCACACTGCGCCATGCCGTGCTACGCCGCCCCACGCCGCGTTTCCACCCCATCCCACCATCCCACCCCACCCCATCCCGCGCCGCCCCGCCCCACCCCACCTCCACCTCACCGCACCCCACCAGAGCGCACCCAACCCCCACCCGATCCCATTCCAGCCCGCCCCACTGTTATTTTTTTCTGGGACCCCATCCCTGCGATGGGGTGGGTGGTCAGAGCGTTCATCAAACTCTTCGAAGATTTCTCGCCAATATGTACATCGAAACCATATGTGAGAGCATCGGCGAGAAATGCGAGAGGGAGGCGGAGAAAATGTACGACAGTGTACCTGTACCCCTTATTAGTAATGTTCTGGTCCTTCTACCGCAAGGCCTACAAGTGTACTGTCCATTTTATATCTGAACCGATTTGAGCGCACTGGGTGCGACGGAAGTACACTGATAAATTCAGTGTTCAACTGACGTGCACATGCACGTGCTCAACACTATGTTGCACACTTTTAAGTGTTTGACGGGATATTTGAATACTTCGAAATGTTCAACAGTAAATTTGAACACTATAATGTGCCCAAAGCTTCAAAGCCAACCATAATGTTTAACACTTTTAAGTGTTCAACTCTACTGTTCAACATTTTATAGTATTTACAAACCCGGTCTAACTCTTGAAAGTGTGCAACATAGCGTAGTTAGCGCCAGTTAAACACTTTATTTATCATTATACTCCGATGTTGATTTTACAGCGTAAAATGCGCGCGACCAAGTAGTGGTCATACACCATCCGATCGTATATGCGAGGTGCACGACAGATAAACTCTTTCACACACACATACTCACGCACACACACACACACGCACACTACCTTATCGAAAGTAAGTAGCGCTTTGTGAAGCGTGAGACCGCCACTCACGTCATCCGTCATTCAACAGCCAGTGCAGGAGGCGTCGATGTGAGCGCGCGGGGCGGCGCGGGGCTCGGCACGCGAGCGCCGCTCCAGCTG